ACCTAACCTTACCTTATCTTATCTTATCTTATCTTATCTTATCTTATCTTATCTTATCTTATCTTATCTTATCTTATCTTACCTTACCTTACCTTACCTTATCTTATCTTATCTTATCTTATCTTACCTTACCTTACCTTACCTTACCTTACCTTACCTTACCTTACCTTACCTTACCTTACCTTACCTTACCATTGGACAATATGGGTGATTATGTTTCAGCTGACTAGTTATTTAACCCTGATGCAGCTTCCTATTTATTAAACAATAATTTGGAAAGAAAGAGCCATTGGTTGTGGAAAAGGTGTTCTTTTGTTTCAGAAATGTGAAATATTGACATTCATCAAGCAGAAATAAACATTGAAGGCTGAAACTACTCAACTCTGGTAAACTCCTGTGCAGGGAAAATGATCATCTGATGAGGCCAGACTGACCTTGTCCCAGAGTGATGGGGGCATAAAGGTAAGAAGAGAGGCAGCTGAAGTGATGCACCTGTGCCTAGTGTCAATTGCACCAACCTGTGGTGGCAGTGCTATGATGTGGGGTTGCTTCAGTTGGTTCAGCAACAGTATGTGTGTATGTATAGCCAAGGTGAGTTTGTGTTAGGTCAGCTGACAACCTGAATATACTGAATGACCGGGTTATTCCATCAAAGGATTTCTTCCCTGATGGCATGGGCATCAAGATGACAATGTCAGGATTAATCGGGTTCGAGTTGTGAAAGAGTGGTTCAGGGAGCATGAGACATCATTTTCACACATAGATTGACCACCACAGAGTCCAGAACTTAACCCCATTGAGAATCTTTGGGATGTGCTGGAGAAGGCTTTGTGCTGTAGTCTGATTATGGGGCACCATGTATAAAATAAAATGTAAAAAAATGTCCCTAACACATTTTTATTATTTAGCACACTCCCTGGTTTTTAAAAATTTTCTACTAACATTTCATTGTTATTTAGATGACTGTTCTTAAGTTTGGCTAATTTTTACTAAATGTTACTTTTAAATGAGAAAGTTAAACCTTAGAGGGGCAATATAATGTAAAATCAACTTTTTTGAGTTTTATATCATGTTATAATGTTATACTCTCATAAAAAACATGCCCAAAGCCTTCCTTGCTCTGACTCATTCATGCATGTCTGAGAAATCCTGCAGTGCTTTTAGGAAGCCATGCAGAGGAGCAAAACGACAGGTGGGGACCAGAAAGGCCTTTTGGTACCAAAAACGCCTCTGGGATGTGACTCCAAGCCGAGCTTCCTCATCATGGAGCACATCTCCCCACCCCCTCCACCACACACCCTGCCCATGACTCCTGCAGGCTCTCAGCAGTAACAAAGCAATTGAGTGAAAGTGAAACTTAAACTGTCTGCTGCTCTCAACATTACTTCTCACTCAGTGAAGCTCTTTTCAAATTCAAAATGCCTTTGAGGAAATGTATTTTCAGATGCCAAGTATACTGCATCGTAGCGCATGCGCGAAACAGCCCCCCCC